CTGCCACGTTTGGAGCTGCCACGCTTGGAGATGCTGCCACGCTTGGAGCTGGTGACTCAGAGATGCTGTCAGTGCTCTGTCTTCGAAGAAGAGCACTCCAAACTTTCACTGCATCAGGAGTCAAGCCAGAGAACGTGATTCCATCATCAGCCATTGAACGTGAGTTCTTTGGAGCAGGCTTCTGCTTGGGTGTGCTGATGTGTAGTTTTTTCAAATCCTCCACCAATGCCATTGGCATTTCACCATCAGCTGGTTTCATGGGTGTGGCAGCTGCAACAGCTTCTGCCTGTCTAATGACTGGCGCTGAGCTAGCAGCAAGGTCACCGGGGCTTTCGTAGTCTGACAATCCCAACTGGTTGTCGGGGTAAACCAAAGTAGGCTCTGAATCAAGGACTTCCACCACAGGCTTGGGATCACATGGGGATTGGCCTGGGTCTGACTCAGGCTGTGGGAGAGTGGCGGGCACCTCCTCTGCATCATGCATGGGGATTGATTCTGCCGATTGCACGTCCAGGTCAGGAACAGGTTGCTCGATGGGCTGGCTCTGAAAGGTCGGAGGGGCTGCTTGCTGAGGTGAGGCTAGCTGCTGCATCAAGGCCATTTCCTAAGGCTGTGGTTTCATATTCATTGACTCATCGATCACTCATCCATTAAAAACCGCTCATATACATAATATAATGTATATATATTATATTACATATATTATTATATTATTATATTATGATATATTTAATTTTATATATAAAGGGGATAGGGATATCAAAATATAACTATATATATATGTATATATATATATGCAGGTGTGCAGTGAAACGTTTGGGGCGACCCGGTTTTGAACAGTTCCATACTATGCAAATCATTCCCCCAAAAAGGGTAATGTTCAAAGGCTTATCCAAAATAAAAACTTAGCTATGGTTGTAGCTAGCTTCAGCTTGACCGCTCCCAGAGGACTCAGTCTTTGCAGATTGATCCAAGCTCTCTTCCCCTAATGGACGGGCAATGCTCTTAACACCAAACCCCTTACTCAGTGGGTGTCATTGTAAAAAATCAACTCGATTTGTTAAAGGATGTTAAAGGTTGGGTTCACCTGTGAATTTTTTAATGGGTGCCAAATTCTTGATCCTTAATACCCTGCCAAATTATTTGGGCCTAGGGTGACATCACAACTAGAAATAGTTTTTGGGCACCACCTGCCTCCATTCCCTTCAGTAAAGCTCAACTTCTTGGGAACCAGTTCAGCCTCTCGGTGGATCTTCTTGGCCTCGGGAGTGACCTTTGTAGATCCTGGTTGAATGTCCCCCTTGGAGCGCTTCTGAACCTCTCCACTGGACTGCGATGCCTAGGAGTGGCTAGTGTTGCAACCACCCTCCATGAGGATTAAGTTATGAATTCTTACATGGTCATGGCATAACTAAAAAAATGTTTCTTAAAAGACCACCAATATTGAAATGTATATATATATATATATTAATGTAATAGTGGGTCATGAATTGGGGAAAGCTCATTTTGGGAAATCTTTATAAGGGTCCAGATCAGATACTCGAACCATAGATTGGGCTAGCAACTGCCGGCGCTTCCCAGCTTCCAAAGCCCTCGCCGCTGCCTGCAAAGGGCCCCAAAGTAAGTTTAACCACCTAAATTTATGCATGTGAAAAAGAAATAGTAAGATATTAACATCCATGTTGATGATATTGTGGTATCTAACCCCCTGTGTGTTTATCAACCTTTGCCTCTGCAAGAACTGCATCGGACAAGGCCATGGGTGCGCAAAGCCGCAAAGATGAGGCACGAGGTGGATCCCAGGTTTTACCCTTCCAAAAACAGGGTTTCAAGCCAAGATCTACAATATAGATCAAGATATATGTTGGATTCAGTGGAAAAAAATCAAAACCCATTGGGATCAGACCCAAAACATTAGCCAACAACCATGGTTGACCCCAACTGTGGATGTTTTTTGGTCTTTGCATCACAATTTCATTATTGTCAAAAGCTTTCAAAATGATATTCCCATTTGGCGGAACCCTAAAACCCACAGAAATTGACGGGGAGTCACCAGGAGTCACGGGCTGTCACGGTCAGTCACGGTTTTTAACGGACTTTACCATTAAATGTATTCAAATTTAGTGGAAAACGGTAGTCCCCCAGTCACGGTCTGTCACGGTCTGTCACGGTGTGTCCCGGAGGGCCCCTCATTCCACCGTAAGCCCCATTTTTTGAATGATCCACGGAAATTGCATAGATCTGAGTCAAATTTGGCATGAATTTATGGCCAAAGCTGTGCCCAAGTTGGCAATTTTGAGTAAGTAAATTGAATTTTTAATATATTTGGTGTATTTTGGGGTTATCACTGCCATTTCCAAAACACAGCTTTGGTGGCTACCCAGCAACTAGAGAGGCACGCCCTCTTGGGGAGTGAAACGCCCTGCTGCAACTTCAGATCGTAGAAACCTTGGGGGAAAGGATTCAAGGAGAGCTGCATGGTAATCGAAATGGAAGCCCTACAATAATAATATATTCATGGTTACCAAAATGGAAGCCTCTAACACTCCCAAAACGGAAGACTTAAATCTCAACAAAATGGTTCTCAAAATGAAATGATGTCTTTTTTGTGCCATGTTGGTGGCTATTTCTAGCCAAGACGTTCAACATAGCTCCCAACAATATAGATCATCATAGCTGACATGTGATCACATGAGTATGGGAAGGGTTCCTAAAGGATATCTGAGGATCCAAAGTTGTGAACCCAGCATCGGAACCCGGAAGTGGAAAGTAATAAGCCAAGGGGCTCTCTCAGTTGTTCAAGATGAGCATGTTTCCAAGATAAGGGCTGTGCCTCAATGGCAAAGGGTCAATTTTGTCTGATTTCTCAAAAGGACATCTTACGTGATACAGATTTAACAACAGAACCAACAATTTCATGCTGGAGTTCCTGGTGGACCTTTGTCTGGAAATGGCAATGCAATTTACCAAATAATTCCTCATAAGAAAAGGCGGCATAATAACAGGTATCAACTTATTGAACAAATAAACATTTGGGATTGTATCTTAAACATGTGTGCCTAAAATTTGGGTGGCCCACGCCCTTTTCTTAAAATGATGAATGCACAGCTTGGGTGGTGAAGTTCTCCCATTTAATGGCAGGGACAACCCACCACTAATGGATTGTTTGAGACTCCATGTGTTTTTTTGGAAGCACATCATCAAAACTGTTAACGACCCATTCGATACAATGGATGGATATCTAAAAAGGTAGCCCCTCTGAAGTAAAATAGAATCCAATGAATTGTCCCTTCATTAAGCAGTTTTGTGACCCTGGGATTGTTGCCAAAAAGGGCTGCAACATGTTAGAAACATTATTTCAAACGTGTCTCAAAAGGTGACATTATAATTATGTTTTACCCTTAAAGGAATCTTTCTGGAACCAAAATGGAAACCCCATTGTGAGGCATCTATATAATCAAATCCATAAAGATGTAGGTAATATATTGGATAATTAATTGATGATATTACCACCCCAGAACAAAAACCTTGGCACTGGATTCTATGCATGGGGCCCACTACATTATCATCATATAGCTATTCATTACCATATTAATATTGGAAATATTTAATATTAAGATTTGCCTACCACCAGCACTGTGCAGCCATGCTGCCAACCCAGCAGGTGGAGTGGATCCGCCCAGCTTGCGCAGCTTCTTCGCTGAAGCCTGGGCCACCAGTGGGGGGTGTACCCGGAAGTACATTGAATAAATGAACATGTTCAATGTAATTCTGGCCATGTGACTTTATAGAGGATAAACCTGGTTTGTGGACCGCCCCCCTTTCAAATGGGCTCCAACACCAAACCACCTACAAACGGTTCACCAATTTCTTGATCCCGTGTAATGACTTAGTCTGGGGGGGCCCCAAAACATATTCCCAAGGTAACCTGACTGCTCCCACAATATAGCCATTTACAGGGGTTCCAATCTTATAGTAAAGGTTTCTTAACCTAGTGAATCTCGGGGTCTAATTTTGGATAATGTGGGTCGCCCATATATGTTTAAGGAAAACTTCCATTAGCTGATGAACACTAGTGTGGCACAAACACATGTTTGTGTGATGGAAAGCCAAAAGAGCCAATGATGCAAAACATCATTTATATATAATATATATATTATATTATATAATATTATATATATATATATTAATATAAGATTAAATAAATTATATAATATAATATATTATAATATATATATATTCTAAAATTATATTGAAATAGTTTATTATTATATAATATTCGGTTATATTTTTATATATTATTGTTATATCATTAAATTTTAAATTATATTTATTTTTACTATACTATCTTATTATATAATTAGTGCATCGAATTTCAAATATTATATCTATACTAAATTATATATATATTAAAAATATATATAATGTTTTTTAAACATTTTAATATTTATATATAATCATATAATATTATATTAATTATGCTATATTTTATGTTCAATGTATTTTAGATACAATATATTTATACGATTATTAATCTATATTATTATTATATTATAATATATATATATTATATAATTATATATATATAAATGCTTTTTATAAAACATATTATATATTTTTTTTTATACATTATATGACTATTAAATATTTAATATATATATATTATTATTTGTATAATTATTATATATTATTTTATTGAAGAATTATTTATAATCTATATAATATTATGTTTTAATATATACTATATTTATTTTGCATTATCTTAATCGCATTAAAACCATAAAATATTATATATCATCCATGTTGAGTATATACAATCAAAAGGCTAAAAGCTGACAGAGGGGGCTTCTTGAGCCAACATGTTCGGGGAACATTTTGGTTCAACGATCCAAACATATAATAACGTGGGGACATTTTGGTTCAACATTCCAAACATATATATAAATATGACTTGCAACTGCAAGCTACATGCAAGAATCAACATATCAAACCAAACCCAATCAAGTAACTTTCCCACGGTTCTTCTTGAAGAGGGAGGCTACCTTTTGGCCAAATTGTTTGGTGTAGGCACCAGACGATTTCAATCGCTTGCCCCCAGTCACTCGGGTCTTCCCATTGATGATCTCCTTCATGTACATCCCAGTAGATGACAGTAGTAGCCGACATTTGCGGGGAAGATAACCATCGAAGTCTTCAATGGCTGGCCTTGGCAAAGAGCCGGGGATTAATCATGTTATAATATTAGATTGGGATAAATAACTGGGATATAATTAGGATAAAATAATATTGTATATATTGGGATTACATTGTATTATAATAATTATATAATAAAGAACCATCATATCGGGATAACATATTTTTTTTTGGGACCACATAATATATAGGAAAGATAACATCATAGGGCACCATCATATTGGGATAACACACACTATATATATATTGGGATAACATAATATATATGATATATAACAATTGAAATAAATATTGGGAAAACGTAAACAATATAGTATATAGATAACATCAATATATATAATATTATATCATATTGGGATAACATAAAGAAAAAAACATGAGGAGATCAAGCCATTTGACATCACCGATGCTTCGTTTGGATCTTGGGGCCCTCTTGGAGGGTAACTTGAAAACTTGCTGTTGCAATCAATGAAGGCTTTGAGGAATGCCACTCTGGCGGCAATTCGGCTTAAAGCTGCCGGCAGCCCCAAGAACAAGGGCATGAAAGTCACAAATTCTTGACTCACTGCTTGGTCAGAGGAACTTTGAAACAAATTGTGATGGACCCTGGTGTTGAATGACACAAAGTGGTGTCAATTGGACACAGGCTCAACAACCTATGAGATTGCGGAGCAAGACAAGTCCCACTAACGTTCAGGGGCCTAATAGCCTGTATGCAGCTGAAGTGCCAAGTCCCAAATAATTGGGTTGGTTTAGCACACCAATGCCCAAAAGTTGCCATCCACATTCTTCTGAAAAATGCAGGAGGCCCCAAGTTCAGCAATACGTGGGAAACATATGGGCAATCCCGTAGGCATGAACTTTGAGGCTGCTCCACCTCAAGAGAATTGGCCAATCATTGATTTCAATAGCAGACCATTTTGGAGTACTCCCATTAATGGAAACCACCCTTGAAAACTCTCCTGCAGTTGGATCCAAAAGCATAAAAAGTAAATGGATAACATCTTATATTAGTTGTTTTTAAATGCCATCAGATAAATATATAGTTGATTGTAAATCCCATAAATCTTTCCTGTGCGGCTCAGGAACCACCCAAAATATGTTCATGATGGTGCACACCAAGGCTAGCAGGGCCCATCTTGCTGCTACCTGGTTTCCCAAACGAACACATTCTACATCTTCATTGCCGAAGATGCCCCAGTTGTCGGCATTGCGCCGCGTTGTTGAAGAACTGATCCATATCCAACTGAGCAGAAATGATTTTCTGGATGGGTATGTTTTTTTTTATTTTTGAGTGTAGCACTTAGTAAGTGGTTTGTAACCCGACATATTATCTAATATAGTGGGAATATAATATAATATACACATCATTATATATGTATACATCATTTCATATATTTCTAAAAAATATATAAATATATGGGGATATAAGATGAGATATTCCATATATTTACAATCAAAATGGGATGCGCCCAAATGGGTTTGTAATAATTATATATATATATATTATATATATATATGTGTGGGGATATAAGTGGATATATATATAAGATATAATCAACATGGAATGCATCCCAAATATATAGTCCTTGCCACCTTTAACTTGGTTATTCCAAGCCACCTATTGCAGGGATTCCCTGACCAGAAGAGACCAGATCTGCGGATCCGCAAGACCTTCGTCAGGGCGATCATAAACCTGGGATCGATGTCATGCATGGGCATACCCTCTGGTAAACTAACATAACTTTGGAAAATCACTTTTTTTTTTAATGGGAAAACTCACTAATATAAATAGACCATTTTCAATAGCTATATTACCCTGGGCGATCATAAACCTGGGATCGATGTCATGCATGGGCATACCCTCTGGTAAACTAACATAACTTTGGAAAATCACCTTTTTTTTTAATGGGAAAACTCACTAATATGAATAGACCATTTTCAATAGCTATAGTACCCTGGGCGATCATAAACCTGGGATCGATGTCATGCATGGGCATACCCTCTGGTAAACTAACATAACTTTGGAAAATCACCTTTTTTAATGGGAAAACTCACTAATATAAATAAACCATTTTCAATAGCTATATTACCCTCTTGTAGTTTAACAATATATATATAATATTGTTAAACTACAAGAGGGTAACCCACACAGAAACACAGTTGAAAGGGCCCCAGTTCCCCAGTTAGAATTCATTCAAGTAACCCTTCTGGTGTTGTCAAGTCATGGTATCGATTCTTCAGAAGATCTAGGCCCCTGCAATCGATGCCATTGCTTCGACACTGTCTAGTCAGCTCCCCCTGACCACAGAAGAGCTCGCACATGTCCAGGTCCTTGCCAAGGAAAAAAGGCAATTAGGGATCACCCCCCAATCAGATGGGTACCATTTCACCTCACCTCAAAACATATAGGTTTAGTGAGCTGATAGAAACCCTCAAGCCCCTAAGGATCATTCATGGAATTGGGTTTCCCCATAGGCAATGCCAAGATATCCAAATTGTAGGCCTTGCTTTAGGGCCCATGATGAAATATGAAAGCTTAGAGTATAATATAATTATTAATATATTATACCAAAAACCCAAGGTCACCTGATTCCATCCCATAATTGCAAGTAAGGATCTCGGATGGAGTCATCAGGTCTCCCAGCCAGATATGTTTGGAAGCAAAAGTCGATGCAATGAATCCTGGGGATTTTCCCATGGCCGTGGTGGTGATACAGGGTCTCCCTGAACTGGGTGTGTAAAAAAAATATGTTCAAAATTATGTAACTAGTAATTAGGTAGGCTGATGGATCAGCCGAGGCGTTAACGATTGGTGGTTCCAGAACAACCATTTTTTTTAAGCTTTAGACCCCCAAATGCTGCCAGGGCACAAAACCAACGGGGCTCCTAGAAAGAGCAGCATGGTTGCCTTTCCCTTGCTCAAGTGGCGAGGCATGGCTGAAAGAAAGGAAAGATTGGTGCAACCAAAAGGCTTACACTGGGGGGCTAGAGCCTGAAACTTTCAAGCCAGCAAAGGGAAGCGATTTTGATTTCCCTGATGGTAAAATTAATCCCCAAAAAAGGTGGAGAAGGCACCCCCGCATGTGGGAAAATCAATAACCCATTTGGGTCACTGTGGGTTTGGGGTGATGGTTTGCTACTGGGTTTTGATTGCTCTACAATGTGGTCTAGATTCCAAATGTCAATTGTTCTGATTGAAAATGCAAAACAATAATGGACCAAGAACAAATTAGTAATACTAAATACTAGTGATTCCCACGAACCTGTGGTTTCCGATCAGATGCAACAAAATCTCGACTACCAAAATTAAAAGGTTATTTGCAAATATTAATAGTAATAACTACACTTTGGCAATTATTCCCAGGGGATCTCATCATCTGTTCAAGCAATAGCCCCATCCACCATCACATCAACAGATTTTGTGCCAATCTCTAGATCCCACAGGTCTTCACATTTTTGACGCTTGCTGATGGCATCGATCTTGGTAACTGTTGCGACCAAATTGCCCCCAAACACTATTTCAAGTGTTAAAATTCGAAAGTTGGTCTCACAACATGTGAAGATTGGCCAGCCAGGACACCTGAGATCACTATGATATAGGATGTTGATTTGGTAATCATCCCCTTTCGGGTCTTAAACTTCAAAAGATGGTCTCACAACAAATCAAGATTGACTAGTTGGGATGATGTGACAATTTGGATGATGTGACAATTTGGTTACTGCAGTTTGTTTTTGTGATCTACCCCAGGCATCCTAGCACAGTAAGGGAATGTACTTCCAGCCAGCTAGCTTCGCATCAAGCTAACAGCGTTTCAAAAGATAAACTCACAAAATTTCAAGATTGGCCAGCCAGGGCACCCGAGATCATTAGGATGATTCTGAAGTTGATTTGATCAAATAATGTTTTGGGTGATATCTTATATACGTAGAGATCATTATATTCTGAAGTTGATTTGATCAAATTATGTTTTGGGTGATATCTTAAATACATAGAGATCATTAGGATGATTCTGAAGTTGATTTGATCAAATAATGTTTTGGGTGATATCTTATATACGTAGAGATCATTAGGATGATTCTGAAGTTGATTTGATCAAATAATGTTTTGGGTGATATCTTAAATACATAGAGATCATTAGGATGATTCTGAAGTTGATTTGATCAATTATAATGTTTTGGGTGATCATATCTTATATATATCCCAGGGCTGCCAGCAAGCACTAAAGGAATCTACTTCCAGCCCGCCAGCTTCTCTGCCAGCTCAAATGATGGCACCCAGCCCCCACGACGACGGACAGATATAGTTGCACCTCCCTTCTTGTTGGTCTTGATGTCATCATATTCCTTGATCACCTTGGTCACATACATCTGGTCCAAAGTCCACCTGGGCGCCAAGAGCAATTAAATTTGTGGGAGGTGCTGGAGAGAGAAAGAAAAAAGAGTCCAACTCGCTAAACTGTGCAAACCCCAGTTTCTGGTTTGGGATCACCTCGCATGACTGTGGGAATAGGGTTTCATTCAGGTTTGGTTAATAAGTTCAAGGAACAAGATGCCGATGGTGCTTGTACCCGGGCAATCCTGTGGGGGCTTGATAGTGAAGGACTTCTTCTCGGCAACGTTCGATGGGATCTGAATAGGCAATGATCGAAGGTCTTTCTCCTTAGGCAATGTAGGGTCGAGTATATCATCAATACATATATTATTATACTGACTCAATATATTATATATATAATATACAAATATTTACATATATATATTATATTATGTTTATATTTTATTATTATTATTATCATATAATATATATATTATTATCATATATTTTTGTCACATAATGATTATCATATTTTTTTGTTATATATATCCCTGGGGTATTATATATATAAATGAGATTAAATGAGGGGATTGGTTTGAACAAAAACTATCTGGAGGTTTTTTCAAAATGTTGGGTCTCCAAATTGGATTTCCCAATGCCAAAATGTTCTAAGTTTTGATGATTTGGGGGTAACCCAATTTTGTGAAAATATTACCATGGGCATCAAACAACACATGTGTATTTTCACAAAAAAAATAGTGCTAACTATTTTGCTATGGTTCCTTTTCTTTCCACAGCTCCGTCAAGTCTTCTGAACCCTTTTTGGTAGAAGCTTCAGCTGCTGGAGTAACTTGAGGTTCATCTGGGGTATCGGTATCTGGGACATCTGGGGCATTTGGGGCTTCTGGCATAGGTTTGGCCTTTTTGCCACGGCCACGTCCCTTGCCCTTACCCCGCCCTTCCTTCATATTTTTTATCACCTTCCCATTTCCATTTGCCCTCTCAACCAAAGCCTTGGCCGATTGTACTTTGGCCGCTTTCACACTATCCAGCTGTTTCTCATATACATCAGCCATTTCACCCTGATCCCCATCGATATCCTCACCAAGAAGACTCACATCCTTCTCGGTTAGCTCAGGCGGGACAGCCTCCAATGGAGCGTGGTCCTTGAGGGCGGATGTGGTGTGTGAGATTGACCAGGAGATAATTGTAGACCTAATAGTAGTTAATAAATATCAAGTTATCTGCAGGTTATGATATTATCAATAACTATATTTGAACTTGTTCAATCAACATCTGGAACTTGGGATGACAAACATGTGGATCGTGACCAAGAATTTGGTTTCGCAGTGCATCCTGCAGCTTCAAGACTACGAGGCATGAGACTGGATGTCTCAGTTGCCCCTTCAAGGTACTGTAGGCTCTTGAGTCTGAGCAAAGACATCACCAGACTCTTTCCTGATGCACCGATTGTGATGGTCATCGAGGGAACTATATCTGGCACAGAACACCGCTAATCCGGGAGTTTGACAAGGTTCTCCAATTCCAGCCTACGGTCACATAATATAAATAATATTATAGATAATTTTATAAATAAGGATATATTTATTATTAATTATATGGGGGTTTTATTGATCCATCTATCTATATAGATAGATGGATCAATAAAACCCCCTTCAATAAGGGCCCATGAATTTTATCTTTGGCCTTCACCAAACTAATTCAAGCTAGATTCCTTGGCTGCTTGTCGGCGGGCCCCATCAACGAAACCAGCATCAGCATTGAAGTCAATGTCCAGGGGCAAGGTGTCCATGTTGTCGGGGCTCACCTGAAGACATTTATGTCAAATAGGACCCTGCGTGGGAATTTTGGAAATTAATCTTCACATGGTTTCCCAATTATAGGCATCAATTGTCCAAGTGGCCATTGTCTCAGCAGGATCTTTCACGATTGCAGCTTCGATCCCCATAGTTGGAGAATCAACCAGCTCCTAGCCACTTGGGTTTGTGTTTATATATATGGGGAAAAAAATCTTGGCTGTGGGGTACAATAACAAATAGGTTCGACTACTGGATACTTAGAACTTCAATTCAACTTGGTTGACCACCCTGATTTTCCCACCATATCTCCTCACTCGAGGATCCACTGTTGGCAGCAGTAGCATTGAGAGCTGCATCGATGCCTTGTTCAGGCTCCTCACCTTAGGGGCATGTTCATTGGGTTGATTAAACTAGTATTTCCATGGTTTTGGGGATTCCTCACTTTTAGAACCCATATCATATCATTCGGGCATTAACCCCATGTTGGGGATATGGCCTGATGCTACCCCCAAATAATTCTTTATGGGAAAAACATTCTATTTTGGTTGGGACATGACCCACATGTTGGAGATGTTTCCTAAAATCATGGTAACCCTATATTTAAGATATTCCATCATGTTGCAATTCCCCATTTAAGAAACCCATATTTCGATTTTATATTTAGATATGGTGGGAATCAACTTGAGATATAAAATGAACTAATTTATAAATATATTATATTTCATGATACCCTCATATTTAAGATATTTTAATATTCCCATCATGCTGGGTTTCCCAATTTAAGAAACCTATATAGATATATATTGTGGAAATCAACTTTAGATATATAAATTCCGTGGTACCCCCATGTTTAAGATATTTTAGTATTCCCATCCTTTTGGGGTTCCGAACTTAAGAAACCATATAGATATTGTGGGAATCAACTTTAAATACAAAATGAACTAATTAATTATATATAGATATAGTATATATATAATATTATAATATAATAATAAAATATTGCCATAGATATAGTTATATATGATATTATATATTATTATAATATTATATATATATTATATATATAATATATATAGATATATATTATATCCTATTATCATATAATATGTTGATAATATTTATATGGATGCCCAACACTGTGATTTAGGTAGCTGCAGTTGCCTCCATCGGCCACGAGCTTGTGCATGAAC